GGGCCCCCCAGCTGACGTGGCATGAGGCTGGACGGGCTCCTCGGGCCCCCCAGCTGACGTGGCATGAGGCTGGACGGGCTCCTCAGGCCCTCCAGCTGACGCTGAAATAGGCTGCACAAACTCCAACTCAGCCCCTGGCTCCAACCTGGCCTGGATCTCGGTCCCACAGTGGCTTAGCTGAGCCTCATGGCTAGCACTTCCAGTGCAAAATGTCTTATAATTTGGCTTCTTGGAAGCAAAGTTCATAGCATGATCAATACACTGGGATGCTAGGTAGTTGTGCAGAGGGATAAGATATTCCGTGGAAGACTTGGCTGGTGATTTTTCAGTCTTAGTCATTTCATAAACATGCCCATGAACCGGTAAGGCAGTGTCTGTTTCAATATTCTCCTTAGAAAAAACGCGTGGATTCAGAATACAATCACCCACCTCATGTTGCTGTGAGCCGTGGTGACGACCTGGACGCCGCCTCCTCCTGGAAGCGGTGGTTGTGGAGGCCGGCGCCGCTACAGCTGAGGTGAATGTAGCACTGGAAGAAGCCACCGGTTGAGGTGAGGGAAACGCAGCACTTCTCTGCTGCAGTGGCGACATGGACATGGAGACAGGTGAGAGACTGAATAAGCCGACTCTTACTCCTGTAGCCGGTGAAGGAAGAGCTGCATCACCGCAGGGCTGGTGTGATTCAGCCTGCACACTGGGCACCTGCTCAGACGATGATGGTGAGGCAGAGGAGATCGTGGCTGTAGCAAACTTCTTTAAGTCTGCAGGCAGGCAGCCCATAAAACCTAGGTTAGCCATGGCTATCCAGGTCAACTGAGCCCGAATAGCCTCCTTCTCCTCTCCCTGCTTCCCTGCACAGGAGATAATCCAAAGTCCACGAAGCTGTGTAACACGAATCTTGAATTCAAAAAAGTCACTGAAATAAATGTCCGCTGGGTCCAGCATGGTCAGGTCGTTCTGTCACAGTCTGGCGAGAGCAGACTGTATGTATTATGAAGAGTGGACCCAAAATGCAGACACCAAGGAACTTGGATCAAAACTTGAGTAACAAAAAGCGAGCCGTTTAATGAGGCTGGCAGAAAAGGTACAAATAACGGGCAAGGCAAACAGAAATAAAACTAACATTAACCTAAACTGGGAGAACTAAACAAACAACATGGAAAAACCTGGACATGAAACCTGGAAACATGGCATGGAGAACATGGCGTGAACAACAGACGACCTGACAAACACACACTGAAAACAGAGGACTTAAATACACAGGAGCTGATTAGGGGAAGTGGAGACACATGAGGAAACAGCTGGCACACATGAACATAATGACGTCACAGTGGGAGAGTAATTGAGCAGGACGAGGCAAGGGAAGCAAAACTAGAAACATTAACATAGAACAGACTGTGAAAGTAAAACAGGAAACACACTGACGGAACTCAAGACATGTGGACTTAACAGACTGGGGGAGACAGAACATAGGGATCTGAAACATGGAACAGAAAGGCACAGTAGATCAACATGAACATAACAACGCCACAGGGGAAGAGTAAAACTGAACACAGAAACACCAGACCTCTTCGCAATAAAACAGGAAACATAATGAGACGTAGACATGACAACCCAAACTTCACAATGTAAGACACAGACATGAAACACATGAAAAGCAGGGGAGATTTACCATAGTAGGAAACACGAGGGGGAAATAATAAGAACTAGAAACACTTAAGCATGATTACAAATGAACTTAGGAACCTGAAGGGCTGCATAAACTAAAACATCAAAATGAACTAAAACTCAAAACACTGGGTCATAAGACCCAGGACCGTGACAAGCGTTTTTTAGGGACTAGTGATAGTCAACAGGTAATAAAGGTAAAATGAAGGTGGTGAAGTGAAGGTGGATGAGTTTAAATATCTGGGGTCAACTATCCAAAGCAACGCACGGTGCACGAGACAGGTGACGGGCAGGATCAAGGGGGTGGAGATGAGTGTCGATGATGGGCGATTTGTAACAAAAGGATACCAACAAGAGTGAAAGGGAAGGTTTACAAGATTGTAAGAGACCTGCTATGATGTATGGTTTGGAGACGTAGCACTAACAAGAAGATGGGAGGCTGAGGTGCAGTTGGACAGAATAGCTTGCTAATTTTTAGTATAAGAAAATATATTGTCCAGGCGAATTAATGCAAAAGCATCCAAAATGGGATGGATGCTGTTTCTGCTAACAGGACCAGGTCTGAAGTTTCCCAGTTATCTGTAAAGCACATATAGTTTTTTGGACACTGTGCAGGCAGCCAGCAATTTAATGAGAACAGAGCTCATTATAAACTAAAAGACTAATTACTAACTAGTCTACTAACTACTGGTCAGGTAGATTGCATGCAAATGCAATCCTTTCAAGGTTACCTGCTTATGGTGATCCAAAGAAAGTGAGGCTGGAGCCACACATTTTAATGGCGCGAGCACATCCCAGCTGCCATAAGGCAAGAGACGGGGTACACCCTGGACGGGTCGCCAATCTGTCGCAGGGCTAACGCAGAGACAGACAACCATTCACACCTATGGGTAATTTAGGATCACCAATTAGCTAACCCCACTAACTGCATGTCTTTGGACTGTGGGAGGAAGGGTTAGGGATAGGTGAAGGTGGACCACCGCATGTCCCCTTAAAGAAAAAAGACCTTGAGCAGTTCAGCTGTTGCCACTGGAAACTCCTCATGTCATCAGAGGGCTCCTATTTCATCTCGGGATTATCAGACGTAGCAACTTGTAAAGAGGGTAATGTGACTGGGATGAAGCCTGAACTCACCATCGTTGGGATACATTGGTCCAGGACTAATGATTGATATCAAGTGTGGCTTTCTGTGTAGCTAATGAGACTACAGATCTTGATTATGGATGAGCAATGGGCATTTAGTGTGTGTGTGTGTGTGAGCTGCAGGACGTTGCGTGGCATAGGCGCGTTCATCATTCATCATCATGAGTTGTGCCGCCAGGAAAGTTGACAGATAGCAAGGGGGTTAGCTGTTCGAGTGCTAGGAGGGGAGGTTTGCTGGCTTCTTTAGCTAGTCCAGCCCAATCAGAGGAAAGTGAGTTGTGTCATTGCTCCTCAATGTGCTGTGGCCTTGAACGCTGCAGCCATTAATTAATGTGTGGCTTCCTGTGCATGCCAGTGGAGTGAGAGGGCCCCACGAGCCCAGACCCTGGGATGGGGTCTCTCATTTTAGAGATGGATATTTTTATTTCCCCTCCCACTTCCACCCGATGAACCCTTTTTTGAACAGTTGGAAAGTTTAACGTCACATTCAGTGTAATCACTGTTTATTCTGTCAACAAATACAACGCAGCTCTAAACCTGGAAACTGCTCGTAATAGCACCGAAACATTTATGCTGGTGTAATTCTCGGGTACGATTATCTGGTGCTACGTTGCTTTTAAAGTCTCGATCTGGACTAATAAAAGACGGAAGGAAAAGATCTACAAATGAAAATCAGATTGTTCCGATTTTGCAGAACTGCAATGTGTTTGCAAATTATTATTAATTACTTACATTATTTAAAATACAGTCTTGTTGACTGACTACTGGACAATGTGTTGTGCTACATACGTTACCTGCTTTCTCGGGTTTTTTGGACGCTGAACAGTTGCTATTTTTGAGAATGTGTAAAACTCCCCTCTTAGCCATTGTATGAAGCTGAGAGGCCAAGACCATGCATCCTCAATCAATTTCCCAGGCTGTAGTTCTGCAACCCAGCTTGCAAAACCCAGGTCCCCTTTAGTCGCTCCCTTTTCATCCTCCTTTTACCTTTGTCAAACAATGGATCCTTCCCTATTTCACACTGAATCCCCCAAACACTGTGTGAATAAAGTTAGTCCAACATGCGGCCCTAAACCCACCCTGAGACTGCTGCGGGCAGCCACACTCACAGAATTGTGTGTTAATAGTCCAATTAGATAATTGCCATCTTTCACTCCTTTTCCTCTCTGTTTCCCATAAAGGCATGAATGGCACTCAGGGAGGGGGGCAGCCTGAAGAGGGCTTCTGGCCAGCTAAGGTGACAAGAAGGGCCAGAGAATGTTCCTTGCACTAGCCCGCTGGTTTGAATTGAATCTTTGTGGCCTAATCAATGGTCTTATTGGATTACTGGCCACTGCTGTGTTCAGAGATATTGTTTCACTGACAATGAAAACAGCAAAGAGTTGGTGGCTGGGTGGGTGGGTAGTGGGTTGGAAGGCGAGTGGTGGAGAGAGGTAGGGGCCATTTCAGGGGTATGCGTGCATGAGAGAGAGCGTAGGCAGCCGAAGCACTAATGACAAGTTTTGTTCCCCTTTTTTGTCTCCTTCAAATATGCAGGTTAAGATTGCGAGAGCTGAAGATGGCTTTTAGGGTGCAATCATTTGAATACTGAAGGACCTCGCTGGGCTTTTCTCTTTGACCGAATCACATGATGACACAGGAAACTTAAACACAATTCTCATTTAAGAGGAGCCCAGCATTGTTGTGGTGATCCGGCTGGCTAAGTCATCATTGCCTTCATAAATTTTGCTATGTGTGGATTTTTTCATTACCCTTTGTTAGCTATCTCTCTCACACTCTGTCTCCCTCTCTGGCTCACTCCCAGTTTCTCTTGCCTACAACAGCGTAGTGACAAGATCTGCACGTTGCAGAATTCCACTGATTGGAGAGAAAGCCAACGGGAAAAATGAGATCAAAGTTCACTGACAGGCTGCAGCAACAAGGTACGCTGTAAAAAGTCAGTGGGACAAAATAACCAGCCGCGTTCTGGCACCGGAAGAACGACGTGTCCGGGAACTTTTTTGGGCTCCGGTCGACTCGTACCTCTGCGATTGTGTGCGGGAGGCTTGGTTGCGAGACAAGACCAATCATTTGTCTTGATACCCTGCACTGAGAGCAGGCAAACTGAGGGGGACGGAACGAACAAACCCCTCTATCAAGACCTGATCTATTTCCCCAAACAATTTTGTGTATTCATGAGGTTACGCAAATGTGGAGGCAGCAAAATTACCGTAATCAATTGAAACAGGCAGTGCGCATCCATGGCTCTGATTATTTGGAGATCATCTATCAGCCTGATGGCTGTGTAACGAGGAAAGGGGGGCATTGAATTACTATTGAGATTTACTGAGAAGTCCATGATCATTGGGCAAGGGAGTTTGGTCAGTGATAATAGGACTCCTTGGTCTGGCGGCGGCGGAAGTATTTCTCCAAACATTAGATAGCTGACTCTGCACTGCTGAAAGGTGCTGTTTTGAAACTAAAACCCATAGTGTCCGGACAGGCTGGTGAGCTGCATTCTCCATAATCTCCTTTTCCCCCCACCTGACAAAGGAAAATCAGAGGTGGACGAGCGGCGGCTCTAAGAGGATAAACTGAGCATGGAGGTCAGATACAACCAAGAGACTGAAGGGATGGTGCTGAAGAATGGACTAAAGGAGGGGAAAGATGGCAAGGACTCCCAGGGCAGCCTGACCAAAAGCTTCCTCAAGGACCAGCAGGACTCCTTTGCCCCCTCCGGGACCGTGGACACTTGTGACAAGAACAGAGGGAGCACAGGAGACCCAGACTACTGTCGGAGAATACTTGTTCGAGGTAATGTTCGTCCTTTGATTTCTAAGCTGTTATCAGTCTGTCGCACTCAGATGCATTTGACAAATTTGAAAAATGAGATTATCTTGAAAAAAAGTTGTAAAACAAGCTCCGTAATGTCACAGTGTGGTCGTTTAGTTCATTAAGAGGACGCCGACCGCTCATCAGCCTTTGTAGATCGGAAGCACTTTACTGAACTTTAAGCCTAACACCAGAAGGTTTTTCTTTTTTAAAATATAGTTTGATAAACTCACTTCTTCTTATTTTATTGCTCCAGGATTAAAAATGTAAGAGAACTGAATTATCTGCTGTGTTACATGCACATGCTTTTTTAAGACAATGACAAAACGTTTAGAATTAATATTTTAACATTAATTATTGCAACGATTTTAGGATTTGCTGTTAAAATAAGCAGATTTAAATGTGCCTTCCCAGGTATATCCCCTATATTTTCAGAGTTATAAAGATGAGTAATCAGAGGGAAAATACGCACACACTTTGTTATTATTGCTATTTAACATCAAGAAATGATGCATCGCATTAAATGCATGAGAGAACAGCTAAGAGTGTCACTGTGTGTTTTCTGTCACGAGTGTTGGAAAACAAATAATAAATATAATACCTACACAAAACCACTTGTTTAATAAATGTAAAAAAGCACATTAAGGTTTTCAATTAAAATATTTTACTCTATAAATAAAATTATACAACAATTATTTATTCATTTTTTCACAGCATAATCTGAAATAATAGAAAACATAAGCAGACTGTAAAGATATGTTTTATTCTTTTGTCTTTTGTGCAGGGTCGTGTGAATGAAAAATAAATAGGCTCACTTTGATTTAATGTTTTTTATTATAAACTTAAATTAAATGTTCAGTTTTCTGCAAAGCATTTCACAGTCACACTGATGAAAAGAAATCATTTGGAGTACGTCACACTTCAATGTTACTCCGAATGCACCTCCACTCCTGTGGCTTTATGAAATATGATTCTAGTAATAATAAATCAAATTATATTAATAACTGAGATGATGTCAAATCTGTCTTCATTGTGTCCTGTTGCCTCTGTGAATTATTTTGCTGCTTGTTGCAGATGCTAAAGGCTCCATAAGAGAAATCATCCTGCCCAAAGGTTTGGACTTGGACCGGCCGAAGCGTACCCGCACCTCCTTCACTGCAGAGCAGCTCTACCGTTTAGAGATGGAGTTTCAGAGGTGTCAGTATGTGGTTGGAAGGGAACGCACAGAATTGGCCCGTCAGCTCAACCTCTCTGAAACTCAGGTATGCACCCAGCAACGCCGCCATGGATTTAAACAAAGTGTCTTTATGCACTGAACCATCAGCTTTTTCCTGTTAGCGTTTCAGCACGTAGGAAGGTGGATGTAACCACATAATTAAATTAATTTCAGTTCATTTTCAAGCACATGAAATTATAACATTAATTATGACTCAGAGGCCATTTACTGTTTATTTAAGTTGGAATTTTTTTGTGTTTTAAGGAGATATTTTTACACATAATTACACTTTGATTGTGAAACATGATTTTCATGCTGGTCACTGGTTTGCATGCTTCATGGAAAAAAATCTTCAACCCACAGTAACCATTAAAAATCATATCTAAGCAGTTGTAACTTACTGTTTTAGAGAGACCCCAAAAACATTTGATTTGAGCTTCTAATAAAAAATGAAATTCAAATAGAGCAATCCTGTGTTTACTGTCTGACTGAGATGTGTGCTGGCCGTAGGAAAGCTCACGATTTGTCTTCATGCTGTACGTGTGGGGTCAGCACAGGTTCATGTAGTGGGTGAACTGTGTTTGCTCTTTGTACCAGATTCCACAGAGAGTCACTCCGGCGATCCCAGCCTGTTTCAGCGCCTGTGGCTCGTCTCTGGGATTTTTAACACCGGTGCTGTCGGGACCTCAGTTTGCACTTTGTGTTAATGTGGTTTTTGCCACAGCTGAATGAACTTGACCTTGAGAAAAGGCCGGCAAGAGGTCATAATTAGACACAACTAACAGCAACGGCTGTGCATATTTTAACCTAGCTGTGTGTTAACATTTTAAATGTTTTACATTTTCATTAGAGCAACACAACCACTGTTCCCCACGCGCAACTATTCATTTTCTCATATAAACGTCAGACAGAAAACGAACTTATCAATGCTTAGTTTTCTGGAATGAGACTCGGGTGTGTGCAGCAGTTTGAAGCTCCAGTTTCACATCTTTGCACTGAGTCCACTCAGGACACCACCTTGTTCAGTCTTTATGTTGTGGACGGAGATTATTGGACAGAGCAGTGGCGTTTCTTCACTTTGTGTAAAGAATTAACCCACAGACTATAGCGAGGAGGGAAAGTATTCACGTGTGGAGTAGCACCAGGACTGAGCTGGGCGCTTGCTGATGATTGGTACGTGTATATTTTGCTCCTTACTAAAATAGTCTCATGTTTCGGCTACATTTCATATTTTAAATTATACGGCTTATTAAAACGGAACTATTAAAATGTCACATTAAATAAAATGATGGATAAAAGAAATGTAAATATAATAAAAATGGACGAAAGGCGTAATTTATTGTGAAAGTACAACAGCGAGCCTATATTAAGCACCGTGAGGTAAATATAAATACATAAATAAATAAATACATAAATATTTATTTATTACATAAACATTTTATTTAATAAATCATAAATCAAAATGAATTAAAAATGGAATACTTGCTAGTTTAACCAGTTACAGCAGTAATATCCTCAGGCATGGAAATACATTTTTCCTGCTGCAGATTTCACTTTCACAGTTTTCAATAAATCTCTAAAATGTTAGAAATATATTTTATTATGACTAATTTATTTAATTCAAATTAAGTTGAACATTTTCTGTTCATCACATATTATTTTTAAGGGGCAAAAAGTGTCACTGTCAAATATTACATTTAAGATTTCTTTCATTTGTCTGAGGATATTTCGCGAAGTTTCGCCTTCATTTCCAGGGTCGGTGAATCCTGTGGTGGTAATAAAAGAAGTCGCTGAAGTCATTGCAGTTAATTATCCCCACTCTGAGTGAAGATACAGAGAAACAAGTATGGAGCAGGTTTACTGTGAATGTGGTATTCAGGCTTTTGTTTCCATAGAAATATGTTGAGATTTTAAGCTCTTAATGTTAATAGGAGGCTATTTTAAAGAACACAAATGCTGACGAGTCACGTTCAGAATTGAGCAGCTGGTTATTAATCTTTGTGGGTCATTTATTTTCCAATAAATAACATCGCAGCGCAGCAGTCAAACATAATGGGCAGATTCCCATGTTTTTGTTCACCGATGGCTCTGTTGGGTCGTGTGTGGTTTGTGCCACGTTTGACTGAATCACCTGTCGGTTAGTCTGCATGACTGAATGGAGTCACTGTATTTTGTGGTCATTGTCTGTGCTTATTAAAATGTCTGCACTTATATGGCTGTTACACTTTAGCACGGCTGTAACGCTGCATCTGCACGGGGGAAGGGAAGGCAGCTGACGCTGTACTCTGTGCAGACGAGCTGTTTTAGACTTCACACAGCAGATATCAGTGAATATTAGTCTTTCTTTCATTTTATACCAGCACACAATATTTATATATTCATGCACAGGATTTGGATCTGTGAGCATGCGCTCTACGTATAGCACAGCCACAGAGGAACTGCATATGATTATTATTTCTCAGAAGGCTCTCTCTTTTGTGTTTGAATCTAGGTGAAAGTCTGGTTCCAGAACCGCCGTACTAAGCAGAAGAAGGACCAGGGGAAGGACTCTGAGCTGCGTTCGGTAGTTTCAGAAACAGCAGCCACCTGCAGTGTCCTCAGACTGCTGGAGCAGGGCCGGCTGCTGACGCCTCCCGGCCTGCCGGGCCTCCTGCCTCATTGCGGCGGTGGCACTCTGGGCTCTGCCCTGCGGCCGCCCTCCATGGCCATGGCCAGCAACGGCAGCAGTAGCAGCAGCAGTAGCGGAGGAAGCACCGGCACAGCAGGCGGCAGCCCCCCGCTACCCGCCGTCACCAGCTCAGGGACAGTGGCAAGCTTGCAAAGCTCACCGGCAGCTCACAGCCTTTTCAGCTTCCCTATGCCCTCCTTACTCAGTGGCGTCGCCACCCGCATTTCCTCCAACCCCCTCTCCATGGCGGGCTCCCTGGCTGGAAACCTGCAGGAACTTTCTGCTCGCTACCTGAGTTCCTCTGCCTTTGAGCCTTACTCGCGGACCAATGGCAAAGAATCCATGGACAAGAAAATCCTGGAATAATGTTTTTACATAGACGGAGTCCTGTTTCCTCAGGACACGTGCCGGTTATTTTCCTTGGCTGTTATTGTCATTTTCTGGTTTCGAGCTGTCTCTTCATCTGTCTGTGTCATGTTTTGTAGCAGTTCATGTATTCCAGTTGCGCATCTGGCGCCTTGTACAAGGAAGCAAACATAAGCTCGTCTTAACAAAGAAAAGGTGGCAGTGGGGAGATTTTGCACAAGAAGTTCATAAAGGACTTTATAAAAGAGAATTAGAGAGATATACACTGGGAGAGTACTAACAGATGTCTTTCTGTTAATAAACAAATATTTAGTCCAAAAACCAACTATATACTGAAGCGCGTAGAGAATACAGCTGCTACTGTGGTGCATACAGGCTACGGCAGGGCGCTGAAGACTGGTGACGAGAACTGTAAAGTTATGGTGATGTTGTTGAACTGTGTTCTTTGATTGTGATGGGTAGGTGCGTGTCAGAGCAGTGAGTAGATATAGACAAACAACATGAGACGTCAAACACCTGAGCAGCAGTTTGTGTCATCCTGATAATTCAGCGCTTTTAAAATTTTACCTTAGCAAGGCCAATTTCCTGAAATAGAATTAAAGAAGGGGTCGAGTGTGCGATTACAGGCCAGAGTGAAACCCAGGCGATCAGAGATGCAGATGTGTCATAAGAGCATCTTTTGTAAATCTGTATTATCTTTGAACCAAAACAGAATCCCGAACAATGTCGTCATACAGCATGAGAGCTGTTCACACACACACACACACATATATATATATAAGTGTGTGTGTGACTGTAATTCCACTACGAGTTCTCCAGGTTCTGGTGTACAGTTTCTGTTGCGTGTTGGAGCTGAGCACAGGTACGAGCTACTGAAAGGGAGAAAAGGCTTTTCAGCTGAAACTGTTTGCTTTGTTGAACGCTACAAGGTAACAGCTTTTTCAATCATTAAGACAACCTTTCCTGTGCAAAATTTCTTAAATCCACAGCCTTCAGAAAAGATTAAGGCCGATGATTCTTGTGGAGACTGAATGAAATTATTGTAGTACTCAAGTACTGGAAATGCAAAATGTACCTTAAAGTTGTTATTTTATTGTAAATTATTTACTTCTGTAATTAATAGATTATTAGTATATCTGGAAAATAATGAATGAATGAATGTATTAGCAGGGTTGAGGATTCAATCAAAAGCTCTTTGGTGCTGTTGTTGTGAAATATCTTGAAATTTGTGAAACGTGTGGTTCAAATGTTGATATATATTATGTATACGGCTGCAGACAAAGACAAGTGTGTTTTTTTTCTTCCATACATGTTGCTATAAATTAAGTTATGATAAATCTCATGACTGTCATACCTCCTCTACACGCGCCTGATGTGATGCTTGCTGATGTTGTTCCCACTAATCATTTGACTGGAGGGAACAAAAGCTATGAAGCAACACAGTGGACTAACGTGTTGCAGTGACAGTGTAATTTTATTAGGGCTGTACAGCTATTTATATAAGCAAACGTTTTATTAATTTTGTACAAAAGATATCAGAAACAGTAGAAAAAACTGCCTTTTTTCCTTTTTCCAAACTCTAAAACAATGAAATCAACAAAGGCCGGAGCAGACGGCGGAGGCAGGATCTTCTTGCTGCGAGGCAGCAGTGCTAACCACCGTCCCACCATGCTGCCCCGGCTCCTACGTTCTCCCTGTGGGTTCTCTCCGGGATAATGGTGCCAGTTCAGTTCAGACATTCGTTTCACTTTTCACAAATGTGAGTTTCTGTATTTTCTGACTAAAATCTACACAACAAAAGGAAACAGTTGACTAGAGCGTTCGTTTCCACATCTGGTTCGCCCTTTTGTTTTCCTGTGAACTCGAAACAATAACCTTTAGGGCTAGCAGCCAGTATCCTGTTTTTCACCTGCTCCACCAACTAATGAGTCGGCTGGACGGGAGAGCTGCAGCGTTCACCCAGTCCTCCAAACACACTTTAACAAACTCCTCCTAAAAGTTTCTCTCAGTCTAATTTCAAGTTATTTTCAGTAAATTTGAAGAAAACAAAATTTGCATAGAATCGTGTTTTTAGTCATTTAACACATTTGCATAAATGAATATTAGAAATAAAAGGAAAACTTCCAAAGACCTCTTGTAATCATTGGTCTCGCTCTCTGTTAGTGAAAACACGGCTAAAACGTCTTGAACCTCGACAACTGTCGATAGCAATGAAGACTCATAATAATATAACGGTCGTGTTTTATAATTTAACGTTAACATAGCAGCACACAGTGGCGGTTTGTCAGACGACTCTGAGAACTCTTAGTTTGTTTGTTCTCTTCTGAGTTCAGCCCTGCTTGTTTCTGCAGAACAATAACACCAGACATGTAAAACTGAGGCTTTTTGTTCGCAGAGCCAAAGAAACCAATCCTTCCCACTGTGTCTTGGGAATCTCTCCAGAGGAAAAAATAAAGGTTACATTTATGCCTCCTATGCCTCTCAACCCCATTCTGGAGGCCCCCATCCATTCTCTCCCTTCACCCTTAGTCCAATTAGAAGAAGGTCGGGGAGGTTTTTGTAAGTGTGCTGGGTTGTTGAAGGGGTATCTGTGTTTTTCATGTGCAGACCACCAACATATTTTCTCTCATTACATCGTCCTGTCTTTAAACTCAGGTCTTAGGAGATGACAGAAAGCCTACATTCTGTCCAGTATTCAGTATCTGTATTTCGCCCTCGGTTAAGCTAGTACGTCCCACTATTCATCACTCACTGAAGACAAAAACAACAGCCCCCGGTTGCTTTTCAGGCTGGCGAAGAGTCAGAGCACTAGCCAAATATTTCTATAACATTAACTCGTAATGACTCCTTGAATTTCTTTACAAATAAAATTTTAAATTATTCCTACCTGTCCCACAGACGTATCATTAAGTACAACTTTAAAACTATTCATATTTATTTAGACTTTTTTCTCTCTGATTGATGTTCCTCAGTTAACCTCAATTAATACTTCCTCCCAACCATCTGCATGTCTGAAGCACATTTCAACATAATCACTCAAACGGTAAATGGTCTGTATTTGTATCGCGCTTTACACATCCAGTCATCCACCCATTCACACACTGGTGATGGCAGCTACATTGTAGCCACAGCCACCCTGGGGCGCACTGACAGAGGCGAGGCTGCCGGACACTGGCACCACCGGGCCCTCTGACCACCACCAGTAGGCAAAGGGTGAAGTGTCTCGCCCAAGGACACAACGACCAAGACTGTCCAAGCCGGGGCTCGAACCGGCAACCTTCCAATTACAAGACGAACGTCCAACTCTTGAGCCACGATCGCCCCTGAAGTCCAAAGAAATCCTACCATTAATTAATGCTTTGATTTTAAATATGATCAATCTATCTCTGTTATTGAGGGGTACGCACCACAAGCCTTTAGGTGGCAGTAAATAAAACAATATTTAAAACGCCAGCCTTGGACCCAGCTGTCTAACTGATCATCTGGAGAGGAATGGCTCATTCAGAATTCATCACGGTATAGAAACAGCAGCAGTGAAGGTGAAACATGATCTTCTGATGGCCACCATGCTGGCCTTGCTCCAGCATCTGTGTTACAGGACAGGTAAAACGATCCCTCGTTAAACTCAGAGCAGGGGTTTCCTGAGTCTGGATATGTTCATGTGGCGTCTTGCCAAACCACTTCAATCTACGTAACGTCAAGTTGAGTGCTGTGATTAAGTTGCACTTCTTCAGTTTTTTCAATTTATTTCAATTCCATTCACTTTTAATGTCATAGAACCAAAGCACAAAATTGCCTGGAGGTGCTTTAGAGCAGCGGTCCCCAACCTTTTTCGCACCACGGACCGGTTTATGCCCAACAATATTTTCACGGACCGGCCTTTAAGGTGTCGCGGATAAATACAACAAAATAAAACCAGTACCGGTACCGAAAAAAAGAAGATTTATTCATAACACACGTGGAAAGACCCAGGAAAACCGAGTTAACGATAAAATCGATAACAAAATAACGCTGAAAACCGATAAAAACCCTGAAAACTAAACATTTCACACCTGAGCCTCAACTCTCGCGGCCCGGTACCAAACGACTCACGGACCGGTACCGGTCCGAGGCCTGGGGGTTCGGGACCGCTGCTTTAGAGCCTACAATAACAGAAAATCCCAGCAATCACATGACCCCCTAGGAACCAACACTTGGCAACCGTGGGAAGGAAAAACTCCCTGAGCCGCCAGCTGGGGGTGAGGGGAGGCTACAGGACAAAAACACACTGTGTAGAGAGATTAATAATAACTAATGATTAAATGCATTTGTTGTTGTTAAAAAGCTGAGTGGAGAAAAAACATGCATCATGGAAAGCCCCAGCAGAGACTAGGCCTATTGCAGCATAACTATGGAAGGACTCGGGTCACCTGATCCAGTCCTGACTATATGCTTTAGACAAAAAGAAAGTTTCAAACTCAGTGTTGAAAGCAGAGAGGCTGTATGTCTCCCAATGTCTCCTGAATCCAAGCTGGGAGCTGATTCCACAGAAGAGGGGCCTGAAAAAGTCGAGTAAGCCAGCATTCTGAGAGTGAAGTGCTCTATTAGTGCAATATGGTACTATGGGGTCTTTAAGACAGGCTTGCGCATTATTATTGAAGAGCTTGTGTGTGAGGAGAAGGATGTAAATTCTTGATTTAACAGGAGCAGCCAATATGGGAGAGATATGCTATCAGTACTCTCGCTATAATCAACAGAAGGCTTTTTAGGTCATTTTTAGGTCGTTGTTAGGGCAGCCTGCTAATAATGAATTGCAGCTGTAGAGCCTAGAAGGAATAAATGCACTTTTCAGGCATCACTCTATGGCTACGTTCACTCTGCAGGCGAAAGCGCATCAAATCCGATTTTTCTGACCCTCTGCGACCCATCTATCCCATCATGGTGTGACAGTGTGAACGGCACAAATCCCATATCTTCAAATCCGACCGGGGTCACCGTCGTATGTGGTGCTGAATCAGATACATATCTGATGTTTCAGAAAGCGGCTGCTGTTTGATGGTCATGTCGCATTAAATCCGTCTTTTACGTCACTGACACAAGACAGACGCTAATTATCAGCGCCGGAGAAGACATCACGAACACTTCCTGGACATCCGGTGAAACTGTTGGGAAGACAACGCTGGAGAAACGTGAACATTTTCTTTGTACTGTATAATCTGCAGAAATCTGCAGCTATCCTTCGAAGCCTGAAGTCTTTATATTAAGGCCATCAGTCAAACATACTGTTGCTCTGGGTCTAAACAGAGCGCGTGGTGTGTGACGTCTTATTTTGCGCATGCGGCCGCTTTGAGCGTTCACACTAGAGCGCGTTTGCTGTCGCATTTTATTTGTGGTGTGAACAAGCAGACAAAAAAATCAAAAAATCTGAATTGAGCATTAAGACCTGCAGAGTGAACGTAGCCTAAGATACGACATAAGATAAGATAAGACTTTATTGATCCCACAGCGGAGAAATTCTTGCTGTAGACTGGTTTTTCTTATTTCAAAGATAATGTGCAAATGGAAGTCCTACATGTTTCTTTAATATGCACAATGAATGACATACCCTGGTAACAAACAATTCACAGCGTTACTGGAGGCCAAGGTAATGCCATCCAGAGTAAGAATCTGCTTAGATACCATATTTCTAAGCTTTTCAGGGCCGAGTACAATAACCTCAGTTTGATCTGAATTAAGAAGCAGAAAGTTAGCGGCCATCCAGGTCTTTATGTCTTTAAGACATTCCTGCAGTTTAACTCATTGGTGTGTGTTATCTGGCTTCATGGACAGATAGAGCTGGGTGTCATCTGCATAGCAGTGTAAATGTATGCTATGTCTTCTAATGATGCTGCCTAAGGGAAGCATGTATAATGTAAACAGAATTGGTCCTAGCACTGAACCCTGTGGAACTCCATAATTAACCTCAGTGTGTGAAGAGGACTCTCCATTTACATGCACAAACTGGAGTCTATTAGATAGATATGATACAAACCACTGCAGCACAGTACCTGTAATACCTACAGCATGTTCTAATCGCTCTAATAGGATATTGTGGTCGACAGTATCGAACGCTGCACTGAGGTCTAGCAGGACAAACACAGAGATGAGTCCACTGTCAGAGGCCATAAGAAGATCATTTGTAACCTTCACTAAAGCTGTTTCTGTGCTGTGATGAGCTCTGAAACCTGACTGAAACTCTTCAAATGAACCATCCCTGTCAGTCAGCTGTTTTACAACTACTCTTTCAAAAGCTTCTGAGATAAGAGGAAGATTGAAGATTGGCCTAAAATTAGCCAAGGAGGTCAAGTGATGGACTA